AAAAAAAAAAAACCGGCCGCAGCCGGGGCCGCTGGAGCCGCTGGAGCCGCGGGAGCCGCGCAGGGAGCTCCGCGCCCGCCGCCGCCACCCGAGCCTCTGAAGCAGACGAGTCAGCGGTCCGCGTCCCGGCTCAGCTGGGGACCCGTCCCGCCCCCGTCCCGCCCCCGCCGGCCGCCCCGCCCCCGCCGGAACTCCGCCCCGTGCGCGCGTTGTGAGTGCTGCGAGCTCCGCGCCCTGCGCGCCCTGGCCGGGAGTCCTGGGGCGGCCCCGCGGAGAGGAGGGGCCCGCCCGAGGGACCGGGAGGAGGGTCCGAGAGAGAGTCCCCAGCCGGGAGAGAACGGGGCAGCAGCACGCGCCCGGCCGGTACGCCGCGGGACGCGGAAGAAACCCGAGACCGCAAGTCTGTGCGACCTGAGCCGGCGCCGGGCCAGCGGGCGCGTCCGCAGCGGCTGCGCCTTGGCCCCATCGCGGAGACTGAGCCGGGAATGGCCGCCTGGCTGCGGTGGGGGCTCCTGGCCCGGCCACTACTACTGTGTGAGCGACCAGACTCCATCAGGGACGTTCCTGATCCAAACCTGTGCTCTGCAGAGGTCCGGACTCTGCCCCGGTCTGCAGCCCGTGCGGGAGGGGAGGAGCCCAGCTGTGGTTGGAGAGGAGACCTACCCACTGTTGAGCGCCCCGTGGACTCTAGAGCATCCACGTCCCCGAAGGGCTCTGCATCGCTGCGGACCTGTGCCCGCTCGTCCCCACCACCCCCAACCCCGGAGTTGGTCTGGTACCTGTGTCCCCAACCTCCCGCTTGATTCTTCCTGGAGACTGTCTGATGCCTTGTTAGGTTTTAGTGGTGTCCTGACCCCTGTGCTCTAGATGCGAGTGCCACCACCACCAGACCTGGCAACCCATACTGGCTCCAGGTATTGGCAGAGGCCCCCAGTCACTAAGACCCCCGTCCTAGCAGGACCCAGCGTGGTGAGTTGGTGAGTACAGTGTGATGAGGCCAGGAGCCACGGCTGGGTCTGCTTAGAGGGTGGATGGGGTCTGCTTAGACGGGTCTGCCGTCCTACCAGGTCATCACCCTAGAAGAAGGAAGAGGGAAGGAACCATGGCGCTCCATGCAGCCACCTCTGTGCTCACAAAAGCAGGCTTTTCTGCTTTGCGACTCTCTGGTACTGGTCTGAGCTCCACAGCCTCAAACAGCCTCAAGTGGTGGAGAAATCTGACCTTGTTTTCGTCACGATACATTTCGGGAGGGATTTCAAGTGACCTGTGAGGAGGAGGGTGACTTCCTGCACCTGTTGGTTTGAATGTTTTACCTTTCTCATCTGGTCAAAGAGTTAGAAATGTAATTGGTTGTAGGGATGGAATTGTCACCCTCTGGGGAGGCCTTGTCTGCAGGGCCCCAAACAGCTGGAACTGAGAGCCACCTCAGGAACCCTGGGCGGGAGAGTCAGACCCCTTAAAGGTGGCTACAGTTGAAGGATCTGTTTGGAGAAGCCCTGGTCTGGGCAGGTCAACCGCGCGCCCCCCCCCACCCCCACCCCAACCAGCTACAGCACAAGGTGAGAGCCCTGCCCAGCCTTAAGAAAGGCTGTCACCCCAAGGCTCACAGGCAGCTCTGAGGCTGAGGGGCCTCCTGCACCCCTCCCCACACCACCTTGGAGTGTGTGCCCTGCATTGCTGCAGGTACCAGGGTGCAGAAGTGCGGGGAGCAATGGGCGAAGTGAAACCACCACCCAGGCCGCTTGGGGGAGGAACCTGCCAGTTATGAATCTGGAAACTACAACCACTTCTTACCCACAACCATATCTAGGCAGCCCAGCAGCACCTCGCACCCAGGACGCTCCCCATAGTAAAGAAACTGCCCCTGAAGCACAGTATGCTTGTCAGGGCTCAGGGCCTCACACTGGGGAAGGGGCAGGGGCCGCCTTAGGACACCCGCCCGCCCCCCCATTACAAATGAGTGACAGTGCTAAGGCTTCAGAACTCCCTGGAAACCACTGGACCAAAGGGCAGAGGCCACCCCTGGGGCAATGTGGAGCCAGTTCCTATGCAAGGTTCAGGGCTCTGTGAGCTGAAGAACTGCCAAGCCACCTGTGCCCAGGACCACTTCCCTAAAAGTAGGACAACACAGTGGTGCCTACGGACCTGCAAAGTCCTCCTGTCAAAGGAGTCCTTTGCAGGACTGAACAGTACAGCCTTTAGTTAACAATATATCAATATCAGCTCATTGGTTGTACAATCACACATGTTAATATTGTTAACAAGATATTAATAATAGGGGAATGGGCAGACTATGTGGGAACTCTCTGTACTGTCTGCTCAATTTTTCTGTAACCCTAAAATAGGAAGTCTACTAATTAACAACAAGAGCTCAGGGAGTCATGCCCACCTGGCAGTGTTCTTAGGAAGGGCCTGGCCTTGCTACTCTCAGACCTATGGCTCTGTGACGGGCCCTCCCTTCTGGGGACACAGGTACCTCCGGATTCCTGAGGGTCTCTGAAGCAGGAATTTCCAGATTTCCCTCCTCCTGACAAGCTGACAGCCGCCAGCCAGCTGTGGGGTGGGGCCATAGTAGCAGAACTGGTTCCTGGGGCTTCACTCAGCTCCTGGAGAGGTTTATGCTCTAGCGATCCTTCTCTGTGCCTTGCAGAGTGGGGCTGCTGACCCCTCCTGACCCTGCAATGAAATGTCCTCATAAATGGGTCCCTGGTGCCCGTGGTGTATGTTTGGGCCTGGGGACAGCAGAGTGAGGTGGGTCATGGCTGTCTGAGGCTGCCTGGGGATCACCTGCCCCACTTCACCCACTAGGGCCTGGTTGGGAATAAAGATACCCCGTGGGATTGACTATGATCCAGAAGGGTCCTTGCCGGCTAGGCATGTGGGCTCTCCCTGGCAGTAAGAGCATCCTGGAGTGTGCTCACATGGATGGCTAGGTGTACCTCCCAGTGAGCATTTCTCCAGTTAAATCCAGCCAGGGCCACAGTGGCACCCACAGTGGGGAAGAGCTGGACATCATGGCGTCCAAGCAACATTCGGGGACTTCCTGTGTTCACCACCCTCCAAACACCAGAGGGAGTGTTGGAAGGTAGAGTGCACACCTGCTCATGAAGGGGCACTGCCCCCCACCCACCCAGGTGACAGCAGCCAAGGGGTCCCGGCTCCCACCATCCTGCCTGAGAATCTTCCATGGCCAGAGGAATGGGGCTGGACTCCGTGGTGGCAGCAGCCCCCAGGACAATTCAGTGTGCCCTGTGAGGTTAGTACTCTGGATGGGGGCGGGGTGTGGGTTGCCCTCCAAAGCGCGTGTGGGGTGAGTCTGTGGCCCAAATTCAGGTCACTATCAACCTTCACTCATCACCTTGTCTATTCACTCAAGAAACATTTACCAGATGCCTCCTGGGCATGTTTGCATGATAAGCTCCAGGGCTGTGGCCCCTGACCAGGGCTGGTCTCAGAAGGCAGGATGTGGCCAGGCAGACAAAGCCCCCCACACCCTATGGCAGCAGCAGTGGCCTCCAGCGTGACCAGGACCACGATTACCACCGGACAACACCTGTGGACTCCCCAGTGTGTACCTGGCCTGGGAGTTTTTGTGGCTTTGGCTACAGGTGCCCACATGTCCTCTCCTCTAGTGGGGATTCGTCACCTAAGGGTAGAGACTTGCTGGAGGTGGGATCTGAGGGGCGGGACACCCTCTCCTTGCCTGTGAGTGTGGGGGCTTGTGCAGGTCCTGTGAGGGCAGGTGGACTGGACGCAGACATGGCCTCTCCCTGGTCCAGATCACACAGGCTGTGTGCTCGGTCTGTTCCTGAGTCCTGTTTACCTGCAAAGTGAGTGCTGTGCTCATTCACAGGTGCTGTCGGCTTCATGACGTCACACAAAACCTCACATCAGGTGGGCATCATAAGCCTGGCTCTTGGTGGAGCTCAGGCCCTCACGTGGGCGCCCCCACCTCCCCCCGCCCAGCCGGCTCTCAGTGCAACATCTTTGAGCCACTAACAGAACCCAACCACTGTAAACGGTTTTATTTTCTGTCCAGTCTTGAGGTTTTAAAGTGTCAGGATGCCTCTTCTGTTATTCAAAATGGCCAGTCACCTGAATCTGCTTGCTGAGGAGAGTTGGCTGCTTCCCCTAGAAACTGGACACTTACAGAAAAATGTTAGAAGGTTTTCCCAAACATGCCCACTTCTCCTTTGACATTCGAAAAATGCCTCAGAACTTTTGCTGATGGCGCTATCCACTTTCCCCTTGGTCATCTGCGTGAAAACTCCCAGACTCCCGACTGCCCGGGAAGGTTTGAGCACAGACCCAGTGCCTTCCCCATCTCAGCCCCCGGCCTCCCGACTCATTGCTGCCACACTACTTCTCCTCTGAGGTCATTTGTGCTGACCTTCTCATAGGGACATAATTACTATAATTGTGGCCAAACGCTTGTGATTTATGTTTAGCAACTGCGGCAAGCAACATATAATTAGGCATAAAACGAGGCCAGCAGGCCTCAACCCTATAACCCTCACCTAAACGCCTCCCTAACCTAATTTGCTGGCATGGTTTGCTGTCTGTGCAGAGAAAGGTAGGAGGGAGAACGTGGGCA